ACCTGTTTCTGTACCCACATGAGATAAATAAATAAATAAATTATTTAGACGATATTGGAGAATACTAGGGATAATGTTGAGAGATATTAAGGACAGTATTTAACGATATCAAGGAATATTGAGATATGATGGGGAAATGTTGAGAGAGGCCAGAATTGTATTGAGAGATATTAAGAAATATGTATTAAGGAAAAGAGATATAGGAGAGATGTTATTGGATGATGGGAAGATGACAAGGAAGGTATTGACTTTGGGAGATAATACGAATGATTTTAAGAGCTGTTTGTGAATGTAATTAGAAATATCATTGACGTCATCGATAAATGATTGAGAAAATATTGATGGTCAAACAGTGTTGAAAATTGCTGCAGATAATATACATATTTTTTATATATTTTTGGGTAATATTTCCGTGATAAATTGGCCATTATGCCAGCATCGAAGTGTGGGGGATGTCATCAATTGGTGGGGAGAAAATCAGGTCCTGGCATTCATTGTGAGACTTGCGATACGTGGTATCACTTGAAATGCACGAACTTAGACAGTGCATCGCAAGCGTTGCTGTCCGTACCGGGCGCTTCGTGGAGATGAACCATCTGTCGATCGCCACAACGACACCCGCAACGCCGCAGCTCACCTAATCAACCTCGCCCTGTAACCATCACATTAGAATCCGCATATGATATGGTTAAGGAGATACGTACTGAAATGCGGAGTAAGCACGATAGCCTACTTGATTCTGTAAATGTCTGTAGCAACCGGATTAGTGATTTTGAAAAAATGATTGAATCGTTCAATGGAAAATTAAAGATTGTTGATCAGTTAACCACTGAAAATACCCGCTTACGAGAGCAGGTAACGAGCTGGGCTGCGAGGCTGGATGAGGTTGAGCAGTACTCCCGCAGAAGTAACGTTGAAGTTCATGGAGTTCCCCAACGCGACAATGAAAATTGGTTATCTATTGTAGACAACATTGCCAAACATGTAGGAGTCCAATTCTCATCGACGGACGTTGATGCCATTCATCGTGTTCCGCACTTTTATAAACAAAATAAAGCTCCACGGGCCATAGTAATGCGGTTTTGCAGCCGCCTAAAGCGCGATGCATTTTTGGCGGCGGCTATTAGCAAAAGGAAGTCGGTGTCTGGCTCTAGACAGGGTTTGCATATCGAAGGAGTGGGGGAGCGCTGTTTCGTTTTTGACCATCTGACGCCAGCTAATAAGGCCTTGTTCGCTCGAACGAGAGGAATTGCTAAAGATAAAAACTATCGCTTTGTATGGACACGTGATTGCAAGATTTTTGCCAGAAAGAACGAATCATCGCCGGTAGTCCCTATAAGATCTCCTGATGACCTGTCACGCCTTTAAATAATTAATTTAATATAATAATTAAAAAGAATTAATAAAGCAAACGCTTAAAATGTTTGGCCTTTCAGTGTATTATCAAAACGTCCATGGCGTTAGCACCAAATTGATTACTATTTATAATAATGCGCTAAATACCAGCGTCGACCCTGGTATCAATTCGGCTGAAGTTCTTCCTACTTCCTACAACATCTACTGAAGAGATGGTATTGGTGCGGTTCCGGGTGTTCTGTCTCGGGGGGGTGGGGTGCCGATAGGTGTTAATGCGAGTCTTCGCAGTGTTCAGAGGTCAGACTGGTTTCCAGCCAATGAAGCCATTTGTGTAACACTTTATTGCGATAAGCGTATTAGCAAACTGCATATTTGTTGTATCTACATTCCTCCTAATGATAATGTTGCACTAAATGTATTTTCTAATGAATTAAGACACATAGTTGACCGATTCCGTGATGATAAATTCTTGATTTGTGGCGATTTCAACTTGGCCGAGATAGTTTGGAATGTCGATGGTTCTGGAATGTGTACTGCTTCTCCTGTTAGTCCACGTTCAGCTGATTTCTTAGACGTCCTTTCACTTTGTGAATTTAACCAACATAACTCTTTTAGAAACATATCTGGCAACACGTTAGATTTGGTCTTGGAACGCTTTGTAACTTTATCTAGAGTTCATTTGAGTGATTCTTCTCTACTTCCAGAGGACGTAGCTCATTCGTCACTTGAGTTGGCGTGCAATATTGCACCGGCAAGCAACCTCACAGAACGACCTCCTACCACTTATAACTTTAAACGAGCTGCTTTTAATAATATAAGTGATTACCTTAATGATGATGTAAATGTCAACACTACTACGGACATTTTCTATAATAATTTGTCTTTAGCCATTAAAAAATTTGTACCACAAAAATGCCAACCTGTGAACGGTTACCCGGTTTGGTTCTCTAAGAGCATAATAAGAGTAATAAACGAAAAGTATAATGCGCATAAAAAGTGGAAGCGTTGTGGAAATCAGCTGGACTATGTAATGTTTCGTCTTCTGCACGGGCGCTCTAAATACCTGATTGATCAGGATTTTAAGGCGTATATTAATCGTGTGCAGGATGGTGTCGCGTTGGACGCAAAGCAGTTATGGGTTTATCTCAAACGCAGAAGAGGCGGTACGGGTATCCCATCAACTGTAATTCTGGATGGGGTTGAGGCATCAGATCGATATGCTATCTGTTCGTTATTTGCGAATTATTTTAGTGCAGTTTTCACAGCACTGTCTGCTGCGCATTATGATTCTTCGCGCGTATTCATTCATGACTTTGGTCTCATTAAAGTGGAGGGGGCATTACGTCAAGTAGCTTTGAATAAGGGTCCTGGTGTTGACGGTCAGTTTCTGACCAGTATAGCAGGTATCTATAGATACCTGCTATACTGGTCAGAAACTGTGCTCAGGCGATATCAGTTTCTTTACAGCTGATATATAATAAAACCATTAAGCTGTGAGTGTTTCCGGATGCGTGGAAGCAGGCCAACGTTGCAGCCATTTTTAAATCAGGTGATCGGCACTTGGTTGTCAATTATCGTCCTATTTCTATATTACCCATACTTGGAAAGGTCTTTGAGAAGTTGGTGTACGCCAGTGTATTTTTTCAAATTCGTGGAAGTAATAATACTAATCAGCACGGTCTTTTTTCCGGGCGTTCAGTCGAAACTAATCTTTTAAAATATACCGATTTTCTATTTGCGTCGCTCGACGAAAATGTTCAAGTGGACGCAGTGTACACCGACTTTAGTAAAGCCTTCGATAAAAGTGATCACTCTCTGTTGGTAAGTAAATTGCAACTTTTTGGTATTTCTGGCAACTTGTTGCGTTGGTTTACTTCATACGTGTCGGATCGCTCTCAGTCTGTACATATTGGCGGCTATAAGTCACGCTTAATTTATACTAGATCTGGAATACCGCAAGGCAGTAATCTCGGTTCTTTACTGTTTTTAATTTGCATAAATGACATTTTTAATAATATTGTTAATTCGCGTTGCCTGATGTACGCTGACGACTTAAAAATTTACCTTTCTATTCGAAATATCGACGATTGCGTTAAATTACAGGCAGATCTTGAGAGGATTTGCAATTTCTGTACAAGTAATCAATTATATTTAAACTTTTCTAAGTGCCACACCATCACGTTCACCAGGAAAAAGGATTACATCAAATTTGATTACATCCTTAACTTTGAAAAGTTGCGTCGAGTTACATCCACAGTTGATCTTGGTGTAACACTTGACCAAAAACTACTTTTCGATGTTCATGTGGATGGTATGGTTGCTCGATCATACAGAATGCTGGGCTTTATAAAGCAATCTTCCGAGGATTTCGCAAACCATAACGCAATTATAAGTATGTACAATGAATATATCAACAGTATCTTAAACTTTGGTAGCGTTTTACTTTTGTATAAGCTGGTCAATGGCCGCATTGATTCCCCATCGCTGTGGGCGAGAATTAATTTTCATATTCCTCCTCGTCAGTTACGGTAGGATTTCCTTTTTTATATACTCACTCCACGAACAAGCGCATATCGTAACTCACCTATTCTGATGATGGAAAAACCCGCAGATCGGGTGAGATGCGAACTTTTTTCGTGTAGTCCACGCAATATTAAGTTTGTGGTCCGCGAAGCTGTGAACTTACTTGTAGGTTTTATCATCACTTATATCACTTTTAGGTTTTTGTATATAATAATTATGTGGAGCAACTTTATTGGGTTTGTCCTGTTGTTGCTCCCCGATATAAATAAATAATGTCGAGGAAGACCATGTTGCTGATGTTAATATAAAGGACGATATTAATAGATGTCTGGGAAGATATTGTGAGTTCTTAAGATAGAGATATATCGGGGATAATTTAGATGCAATAAATAATGTGAACTTGGACAATATTTGCGAATATCAGGAACGAAGTTGAGATGTTGAAATTGAAAGATATCCGCAATTCCAAATTATCCGAAAAATCTATTTAAGTATCCTAAGATTATTTCAATCCGATTAGAACCATTTTGATACATCAACAACCTTTTTTTATTATCTGGTATTATTGAAATTCTTTCAAAAAAAATATCAAAATCATTTTTTTTAAATACTTTCATGATCTTTAAGTATCCTAAGATTGTTTCAATCCGATTAGAACCATTTTGATACATCAACAACCTTTTTTTATTATCTGGTATTATTGAAATTCTTTCAAAAAAAATATCAAAATCATTTTTTTTAAATACTTTCATGATCTTTAAGTACCCTAAGAATGTTTCAAGCCGATTTTATTTCTTGATAACATTTTCCAAAATCATCAAAATCATTTTAAAAAAATTCTTTTATCCTGTTTAAGTATCCCAAAGATGTTTTTATTGAATTATAACCATTTTGACATAAACCAATCAATTTTCGCTGTTTTCCACCAATCCTAATTAGTGCATTATTACATAAAATGCATTTATTTCGTAATACATCCCTGTTTAAAAAAAATGCTATGTGAATATTATTACAAAAAATAAATTTCCCGTTATTATTATTCCGATATAAGTACCTCTATATTTGTACCTGATTTTCATTAAAAAAAATCCAGATTATATTTTTTTCAAATATAACCCACTTTTTAAAGCTAGCAAAATATTGTTTTTCTATTTTTAGCATCTTATAAAATAATATCACCTACAGGCCGGAATAGTTGCGTTAAAGCTAAAGAAATAATAATAAAAAGAAACATATTTGTACGCAAAATTAAATTCTTATCGATTTGAGCGTAAACCATATATATTATCACTCTGTATATTAAAGACCCTAAATTTACCTTGTTTAATTTGTATGTTTTGTTGTAATTCCTAAGGAGTTTTCGGGAAACCCCCGCCTAAAATGTTACACCTACATGCTTTCCTGTTTTTACCATCTATTTCTCTCTCTTGTTAAGTTCTATTGAATCTAGTCTTTTTTATTATTTAGTACCTTATCATACTCCTTATTATGTTTTTTTTCGATGCTCCTCACTATATGTAAAATGTTTATGGTATATTTTAATATTACTCTTACACTTTTATCCTGTGCCGTTTCTATCGGATTTTTAATCCGATTGTAATTAACGCCAAATAAATTGCTACAATGTACCACTTTGACTGTTTCGTTGAGGTGGATTTTTTCTTAAATCTTCCAACTGAATCAACTAATATAAGGAAAATATTAAAATATTATTATTGGGTGCTAAATAAGTGTTGCTTACTTTTTCGATTGGTATTAAATTTAATTCTCCACCACCACATTGTGGAGGAGGAAGTGGGGCAGTTGGTGTAACCGCCAATTTACTCGCTTTTTCTGCCGCCTCCCGTGCTCTCCGTTCTTTTAATTTCAATGAGAAAATAGCCACCGATCGCGCTCTTTTCATCAGGCTTTGTTTTACGCGTGTTTTCTTTGCTGCTAATTCTTCAGCTAACATTATTTATAATAATTCATTTTAATTTAGTAATTTAGTAATAATTTATTACCTTTTGCTTGTTCATCAGCTTCTTGACTGGAAATACTTTTCGCACTATCACTTAATGAAGCATCGATTGGGGTTGGACTAGTTTTTGGAATAAGCACGTTACTATTACCTGGTGGTGTTCGAGGTCGTGGTGGCCAAATAGGACTATTTTTTAATAAATCAGAATCTGAACTCGATGAATCCTTAAAGAAAAAACATTAATAATTAATTATAATTAATGTTTTTAACTAACTTTGCTCGCTATGCAATCGCTACTTCGATGAATATCTTCTTCTTTTAATCTCCTCGACCATTCGGCTCCACCGGTTGGGCCAATCGTAAGATGATATCCACCTTCTTCAGTCCATTCTTTTGATTTTCTCGGTTTAAACGGTGGGATAGCTTGAATACTATCTGGGGTGATTGAAACGGGTTTGTGATGCGAATTAAATGAATGAGGAGTAGTTGGTGTTGAAACCGGTGTAACGCTAGTCGATGTTTTTAGAATTTCGTTGCTGCCTTCTTTACTAGATGGTTTCTCTAATTTATCCAATTTGTCTTCTTTCGAATCTTTTTTATTCGCCCCGTCGTTATTCGTCACTAAACTATGACTGGGCGAAACGGAAAATCTCCCGATTGTTTTCGATGTCGGTAAGATTTCATCGGGAGACGGAGTTCCGGTAGCTCCAACTCGGCTCGCTTCACGTCGAGCCCATTCAATTTTGGCCATTTCCGTTGCCAACCAACCCGGAATATCAGGAATCGCGCAGGTTATTATAAATCGAATACATAGCATTATGTGTTCTAGAGCTACGATTAAAAGGATTGTTTGTGTTGCTGTCATATCGGGGAACATTCGATGTACTTGGCCTGAGAGGCCTATTAATGCACAATTTACTAAAACTGCCATTATACTCATGTATTCCATACAATGCTGAAATAAAATAACAAAAAATTAGGTTGGAATCTACATATTACATACAGTACACGTCATAAGTAACCCTTCCCTCCTTTAATTTGAAAACGGTTATCATAAATAAACAGAAATCCTTAAAAATCGTGTAGTTTTGTATCAATATGACATGGATGTAGTGCATCGGCTTAATTTTGAGATATATTCCTGAAAATTGTGCAGCTTTACATTGATATCGAATCGATGTAGCTCCTCGGCCGAAAGCGATCTTGGCTTAATTAAAACATCAATTGTTAGATATCGTGAAGTTTTGTATCAATATGATATTTATGTTGTGCCTCCGCCGCAACCACTCTCGGCATATTTAGCCTCAGTCTCGATGAGGATTTCATATATGTAGGGACGATTCGGGAAGACTGTAGTCAGGTGTGACTGAAGTGTGACGAGTGTACTCGGCCAAGGGTCGGGTCGATCGATAGAAGCAGAGGAGAGAAGAAGTAAAGAGGCAGAAGTTAGAAGACGACAAGTGTTGTGTTCTGTATGCTAATTATTTTGAAATGAACTGTATTTCTTTATTTTCTTGTTTTTAAATTAAGTGACATTCGCAGATTTAGGTTTTTTTTCTAAAGGATAACTAAAACGCACCTAACACCTTTTCTCATTCGACAGGAAGTGTCCATTTTAATTTCGCTGCCAACTTACAACTAAAAAATAACGAAATATTACTTTAAGTCATAAAAAACAAAAACACCAGACAAAACATGCCGCCAGCCTTGAAATATCAATATTTAAAACTAACATACATAAATGAAAACAAATACAAATTTATAGAAAAATAGGAATATATAATATTTGTAGAATATATCCACTGAACTGAGTCAATCTTCATCTATCGGTAACGGACAAACTTTTGCAACGGCACGTTTTACCATGCCGTTTCTTGTCCGTACTAACACTACGCGCACTATATGGTCCTGGCCGGTATATAGTTCTTCTATACGACCTAAACGCCATTGCAGTGGAGGTAGGTTTTGCTCTTTCAACAAAACCATGGTTACAATCTGGACGTCATGATTATTGCGCGTCCATTTTGAACGTTGTTGTAAGGTATGTAGGTATTCATGATTCCAAACACGCCAAAATCTTTGCAACAATTGTTGCTGTTGTTTAAAATTGTTTAAACGGTTGGTTGGTACGTCGACAACGTTCTCTTGAGGTATTGCTTGTAGTGGTTGGCCAATTAAAAAATGTCCAGGTGTAAGCGGTTCTAGGTCCGTGGGGTCAGAGGATAAAGGTAATATTGGACGAGAGTTTAGGATTGCTTCAATTTGAGTAAGCAACGTATAAAATTGTTCAAAATTTAATTTAGTTTCACCTAAAACTCTCTTAATATGGAATTTAAAAGATTTCACTGCCGATTCCCAAAGACCACCGAAATGCGGAGACCTTGGTGGGATAAAGTGCCATGTTATCTGATTGTCAACAAAGTATGAATAATAATTTTCATCCTTAGCTGTCTCTTTAATAAGGTTATATAAGTTCTTTAAATCATTATTAGCGCCAACGAAATTGGTTCCATTATCTGAATAAACAGTCCTGCAAAGTCCTCTGCGCGATACAAAACGTTTAAAGGCGTTCATGAAAGCTTCTGAGGTCAGTTGTGTTACCAGTTCCAAATGTACAGCTTTTGTAGCCAAGCAGACAAATATACATAAATAAGCCTTAAGTTCCACACGACTTCTACTCTTACTATCTTTTATTAAATATGGACCTGCATAATCTAAACCGATTGCTGCAAATGGTCGTGTACGTGTTACTCTGAAATCTGGTAAATCGCCCATCAATTGATCAACATTTAACGGTTTGACTCTGAAGCAAGTTGTACAATTTCTCAAATATCTACGTACGGTATTTCTACCATCCAGTGGCCAAAATTTACTTCTAATACGGGATAAAACGAATTGTGGACCAGCGTGTAAGTATTTATGATGATAATACTTAACAATTAATTTGACAAAATGATGTTTTGCAGGTAAAACTATTGGAAACTTCTCATCATAAGATAATTCGGAGTGCCTTAAACGTCCTCCTATACGAATTAAGTTATTGTTATCTAAAAATGGATTTAAGCATACTAATTTACTTTGTTTATGAACCATTTTTCCTTGTTGCAAAAGAGATATTTCTTGTGTAAAAGATTGGTTTTGCACAATTTTGCATAGTTTTATTGTAGCATTATTTAGTTCTTCCAAAGAAAGTAAACCGCTTAATTTAGTTTCTGATCTTATGTTGTTTACAAAACGAAGTAGGTATGCCATAACATGTTGTAATTTTAAAAATGTTGAATAGCGGGTACATATATCGAAGTCATTCACTATCAAATATGAAAAATTAATATTTTGCTTTCGAGCTTCAGGTACGTCGTCTATCGTTACCGTGTGGTTCTGGGGCCAATGCGTTTCTTCTAATGTTATCCATTCGGGACCTTTCCACCAACATTCTTTATTTTGCAATTCGTCGGGATTAAGACCGCGTGAAACAAAGTCTGCTGGATTATCAGCTGTTGGAACATGTTTCCACATTTCGCGCTCTGTCAATCTTTGTATCTCCGCGACGCGATTAGCCACAAAAATTTTCCATTTATGCGATTCAGAATTCAGCCACGAAAGAACAATGCTTGAATCTGTCCAATAATAAACATTTTTTATTTGTATTTTTTCATTTGTTAACATTATTGATTTAATTTTTGACATCAATTGAGCAAGCAAAAATGCTCCGCATAATTCCAATCGAGCTATCGATATTTGTTTAATAGGTGCGACTCGGGATTTTGAACAAATCAAATGAGATGATTTTTCGCCATTATCATTGCTCGAACAAACGTAAATGCATGCACCGTAAGCGACCTGCGAAGCATCGGAAAATCCATGTAATGTAATTGACACCACCTTTGCTACAATAACCGGTCTTGGTATTGCTATTTTGCTTATCATTTTGATGCTTTTAATAAAATTTGACCATTTTTGTTTTAAACAGTCCGGAATTTCATCATCCCAATCGCTTTGTAATTGCCACAATTCTTGTAAAATTAGCTTAGCTTTCATAATACATGGATTAATGAGACCCAAAGGATCGAATATTCGCGCCACCTGTGATAATATAACCCGTTTGGTAATTTTGTCATTTTTAATTTCAAAATCGGTACTGTAATGTAAAGTGTCTTCTCGTGGATGCCAAACAATTCCCAACGCTCTCGTCTCAGTTCCGTCGTTAATCTGAAATTTGTCTAGCTGGTTGTTCTCATTGTGTAGAACCCTGCTATCGTTCGATTGCCATTTTCTTAATTTAAAGCCCGATTTCGCCAATATACTAGCAAGTTCATCTTTAATTTTCAATGCTTCTTGCCAATCATGAGAACCAGTTATCAAATCATCCATGTAAAAATCCCGTAATATGATGTTAGAAGCTACTGCGTTAGAATTTCTACAATTCAAGCCAACCTGATGTAAAACACGTGTTGCTAAAAATGATGCACTAGACGTGCCGTAAGTAACTGTGTTCAAACGATACGGTTTTATTTCATCATTAGGGTCGTATCGCCATAATATTCTTTGAAAATCTCTTTGTGTTTTATGAATAAGGATCATTCTGTACATCTTTTCTGCGTCTGCGGTTATCACTATCGGGTGCATTCTCATTCTAACAACTATATCGAACAAATCACTCTGGATTTTTGGGCCAACCTTTAAAACGTCATTCAAACTTAAGCCTGATGTCGTCTTCGCTGAAGCATCAAATACCACTCTTACTTTAGTAGTGCTACTCGTATGTTTTATCACAGCATGGTGAGGCAAATAAATTACAATGTCATTATCACACTTATCGAAGGAAGTAAGAGTCATGTGGCCTAAATCCTCATATTCTTTTAAGAAATTATTATACTCCTGCCGTAAATTTGAATTTTTTGCTAGTTTTCTTTCTAACGAAATTAGTCTGTTTTTTGCTATATCAAAAGAATCTCCTAATGATATGTGATTATCTCGTAAAGGCAATTTAACTGTAAATTGTCCTGTTTCGTCACGTTAAAACTCTTCGCGAAAGTTCAACTCACATTCCATTTCCTCTTTTGACAATTTAGAGTTTGCAATTTCAATATTTTCAATTTCCCAAAAACGTTCGCTCTGCTTGTGTAAATTGTCGGTTGCCAAAAAACATCTTGTTTCGTTTTTCTGTTTTATTTTTCCTAACATGGGTCCGGCAACTATCCAACCTAACTTTGTATTTTGTAATATAGGACCGTGCTTTCCCAACTTTAGCTGATCTGGTTTCATTAAGTCGTAAAATATTTCGCATCCCAATAAAACATCAATTTCGTTTGTTTCGTTGTAACTGGGATCAGCTAATTTTAAATCACTAGGAATTCTAAGATTCGATGTATCGAACGAAGCTTGTGGTAAGCTACCAGTAATGTTGTCGACAACAAGAAATTCCAATTTGTTTTGATAGGAACAGTCTGCCGATTTAATAATTGTCTCTGTTTTACAAGTTATGTTGCAAATGCTTTGGCTAATACCGGAAACAGGTGCAGCTATATCTTTTCCCGTTAACTGCAATTTATCGAACAGAAATTTGGTGCAAAAATTTGATTGACTGCCCGAATCCAGCAACGCACGACATTTAACGAATTCTCCGTGCTTATTGTAAACATTAATAATAGCAGTTGGCAAAATTATTTGTCTTGTTTTAGGAATATAACTTTGTGATGTCATAGTGATTGGCGGTTTCTCATCGTTTTCTTGTTCGTCGTCGCTCCAACGACTTTGTTTGGTATCGTGATCAATTTTTGATATTTCGCTTCGACTAACGTGTGCTTTAATATTAGTAGCTTGTCTTTGACGTAAATGAAAATTTTTGTCATGTAAAATAGTATTATGACGTTTCTGACAAATTTGACAACTTTTGCTGTTGCATTTATTAGGAGTATGACCGGATTTTAGGCAATTTGTGCATATGTTATTCTT